CAAAGTAAAGCTTTTTGGTGACTAAAAAAATTTTAGTAGCCAAAAGTCTACAATTGGCGATTAAAAAATAAGTTTAGTCGCCAAAAGTGGTCATTTTTAGCGCGGGAGATCTAAAATCCTAAGGCGAGAATAAAAAATTTTGGTGACCAAAATTTTGGTAGCTGAAAGTGCATCTTCGGCGACCAAATCCGATTTTGGTCGACAAAAGTTAAGTTTTTTGGCAAGTAAAAAATAATTAGTAGCCAAAAGTATAGAATTGGCGACTAAAAAATATTTAGTCGCCAAAAGTGGTCTTTTTTATTTTGGTAGTAAATAGTTTATTTTACATAAATTATGTTCAATAAATAATTATGTTTATACATATACTTTTATATTAATATGGATTAATGTACTATATAAATAATATATGTTGCATATATAATCATGTGGTGCTATAGAGGTGTAGTGGGAAGAGTATGGTGTATAAGGTTTATGGTGCTGAATGTTGGCGGTTCGAGTCTCCGCAAGAGCGGATCAAATTGTTCTACAACGAATTATCGCCATGAATGGCACTTGATAGTGTCACAAATAGTGCCTATCATGACATTAAAGTGTCACTGAAAGGTTTTAGTCTTGATGGTGTAATGACACTTACAAGTGTCACTAAATCTTTTTTTAATGGCGCTTGATAGTGCCACAAATAATATCTACCATGACATTAAAATGTCATTGAAAGTTTTCAGCCATGATGGTGCAGTGGCACTTGCAAGTATTTACCGTGGCACTCGTATCTACCGTGGCACCGATAGAAGTGGCACTTGTTAAAAATGTCACAAGACCAAAAAAATGTCATTAGAAGAATAGTTTTGTGACACTTTCAAATGTCACTAAACTAAGAAAATGTTGTAGTTAAACCTTAGAGTTTTTTGTAATATTCAACTTGAAGTATGGGAATAAAATTATCAAAATTAAAATAATAAGATTTAAATTCAAATTTGAGTAAAATTATTTTTTAAGTAAAAAGTGTAATTTATATTTTAAAAAAATAAAATAAAATATCAAACAAATAAAAATCAATCTTGGGAGTTATTTGGGATAATCTAAATAAATATATTTTTTGACTTTTTACAAAAAAAAATATTCAAAAAAGTAGCGATATGACCCAAATAAATATACTTTTCTAAATAAATACACTTATTTAAGAAATATTAAACAAATTATAAATATTTATAGACCGTGATATTTTATATATATATCAGAAGATCATGACAATTTTGATGGTAGTGGAAGTTGTAGGAGAGGGTTCAAGAAAGGAGTTGGAAAATTCGAAGATCTTCGAAGATCCTTGAAGAACAACTTCGAATTCTCTAGAATATGATGAGAGGCTTAGATTCTTCAATAATCTCAACATAGGAACACAACAACAAAGGAGATTATGGAGATAAAAGATTGGGTGAAGAAGAAGGCAAAATGGCTAGAAAATAGAATAATGGCAAGGCTCTCCCATTGATCTCCCACTTTCACTCTCAAGGTTGACAATGGAGAAGGGAAATTAGTTCTTTCCCAAGAGTTAAAAATCTCCAAAATCCATCCCTTGTAAAGCTATGGGTGGGTGCTATTTATAGGCACCTCATGATGTAGGATGGAGCCCATGTGCGAGGCACATGGGGGATATTCTCTCTAACCACCTTGTCCGAGGAGGTGACCTCTCCGAGGAGGTGACTTCTCCGAGGATGAGAAAACCCCGAAGAGGAGATCACTCCCTCAGCGAACCCTTCTTCTTAGCCACACCTAACCAATGATCCCCAATCATCCCAAAGGGTCAGGGGTAGTCCCAGAGGACGTCCTGCCGCAAAATATTGCCGAGTCTCATGGACCCCCCGGGGTCGTGCCACCTCGACCCGGGTATAGGCTAGTTTAACCGATGAGTGAATTTATCTCCACTCACTGTCCTCGGGATCGGGTCCTTTGTTCGGACTCCATTACGCCCATGGTTCTAGTACGTAGACCCCGGAAAGCTCCAAGTCCACAAGTGTTCTGGGACTCATTAATGGAGCGGCTTCTAGATTGCGTTTGAATCCGTTCGAAGCCAAGTGCTTCGGATCTCTAGGTTCGTGAATCCGAACCCTTTCGAGTCCGAGTGCCTCGGATCTCTAGGCTTGCTCAATACCCTTTCGAGTCCGGGTCCAAGTAAGTCTCTAGGTTCGTGGATCCGGACCCTTTCGAGGCTTAGAGTGCCTCGGATCTCTAGGCTTTCTTAATATCCTTTCGAGTCCGGGCCCGAGTAAGTCTCTAGGTTCGTGGATCCGAACCCTTTCGAGGCTTAGAGCGATTCAACCCGTTTGATGGCGATAAATCTGGACCCACCGATTCTTGGACTTGCGATAAATTCGGGCTCACTAATCTTGGGCTATTGGGCCTAAATAATTTAGTAGGCTCAAATTAGCCCCTCTTACAGAAGTAGTGGCCTTAAGCCTGGCCAGAACATCGACTATGGTTAGGATAGCAAAATGCGTCGAACGATCGGGTCTTTGATTCTCCTCAACTTTGATGGAAATAGAATAAGGGCAGAATTGGAGAAACCTTCGTCCCTATGTAATTTGTGTATAATATACTAACATTATACTCGGCGTTATGTACGGTATCACATGAGTAATTAAAAAATAATATTAATACTAAATAATAATTAAAAATATTTTAAAATGAAGAGAAAAAAGAGATTAACAAATTTTAATCATTTTTATGACAATTACAATTAAGGTAATCAATGGTGTGTTTTATGTATTAAATATAAAAATATATGTTATAATATAATTAGTAAAAAATAAAGACAAAAAATAGAATAAATTAAAAAAATTGTACTTACGGTAAAATGTAAACAAATGGATAAATAATGTAAATGATACCTATAATTTACATGATGTGTCAATTTGATTCATGTTATTTCAATTTGTT